AGCTCATATATATTGCTGAGACCACAGCTGCTTCTGGCTACCCATGTATGGAAACAGGAGAATTTGAGGAGAGTTTTGGCAGGTTTATAGTTCGAAAAAGGTATAGCATCAAAGTTGACTTGGCTCGCTTAGTTATTTAGTTTTGATGGGGATTCTCTTGCTGCAGAGGAATCTTGAGACCAGCAACAAATGCCAAGACGTTGGATTTAATGAATGATGTAAGTCTATTTGGCTCCTATAACCCTAAGTGACCGATTGAGCCTGTAGTAATGCAGCGTCTTATTTCTGATTAGAATGCTCGAAAATGTCTTGCCACTTGTAGAGTAGAGACGGTTGACAAAGACGGTGCCCAAAAACTTGTCCCGGACATATGCTTGCCTTTGAACTTGGCCTTCTATTTGCCAGGAGCTATGAATGTGAATCCTCAGCGCTATCTCCAGGTGGGGAACCATGAAGACAATCTATATGGAGTGTGTTTTCGACAGCAATATTTCAGCTTTTCCTTGATAATTATATTCTTTAGGCACTCTTCCAAGCGTGTCAGAACTCTGCAAATGCATCACTTGGACGGACGCGATTCAGATTGATCAAGAAATCTGTATCTGAAGTGCTTGAACTTGAGGGTAAGAAAGCCTTTCTTTTTCATTTCAAGTTTCTCATCCCTTTGCACTTATGTCCTTTCATGGATGAAATTACCTTATTGGGGTTTGAAACCTGGCACACTTCCATATACTTTATGGCTATATCCATCAAACGAGAGAAATGTATTTTTGGTGGGTTGTAAATGGATGTTATTAAGATAGTTTGGGATGCGTTTTTTCTGCATAGCTTTTAAGTGCATTAACACAGTTTGTGCAAAGGGTAGCATTCCAAAGAAAGGGGACACCCTATCCATGCTTTTGCTTGTTAGCCCTTAGGTTTTTGTCTGCATCTAATCCTGGTTTAGTTTGCTAAATTAGTTAGAGAGAAAAGGGTTAATGAACAGCCTCCCCTTTGTTTTGATGTAGGAGAGTATGATGGAGTTGTGATATGTCTTGGTTCCAAAGTCAACGATCTTCCGGAGCTCACAGGAAAGCTTCCCTTGAGGACATGCAGAGGTGTCATCGCCCACCTGCAGCTACCCGAGACTTCAAGGTTATGATTCTCTCGTTTTTCTATTACTTTTTAAAGATTTATAGGGCTTTTGAGTTCAGCAATAATCTAAATAAATGGATTTCCTTGATGTGTAAACTTCAAGAGAAAAGTAATAACTCTAAAGATACTTTGATGTCCTTACTCCTTAGGACCTCCACTATCATGTCTAGTTGACAGATTATTCCTTTGTCTCGAACTCTCTCTGTCAATCAGGGGAAATTACCCGGAGAATGGACCGTCGATTTTGTCAGATGCATGGCTCGCAGTTCAGGGTCCTCGTAGTTTACTCGTGGGTTCCACATGGCAATGGCAATCAAGAGATTATTCACCGGATGTCCCAGCAGAGGAAGCTTCAAAAGCCCTCGAGGAGCTTCTTCCAAAGGCAACTGCAGTTTATCCGGGCATAAAGGAATGGGAATTTGCAGGAGCAAAGGCTGGATTGAGGGCAATGCCTCCTCTGACCGAGAATGGATCGGTTCCCATCTTGGGATGCGTCGACAATCTGGTAGGTGCTGGTGGTGGTGGTTCTTGCAAATTCTGGTTATTTGGAGGGCTCGGTTCAAGGGGGTTAATGTACCATGCTTGGTTAGGGAAATTGATGGCCATGGCTGTGTTATCTTGTAATGAAGGAGTAATCCCTTCTGAGCTAACTTCTTGGAAGAAGGCAAGAGAGTGAGTGATACACCCATCTCAACGTTTTGCTTTGTGATGTTCTTTGTCAAAGATCAAACTGAAATGGAACCCAAAAATGGATCATCTCATCTTTCAATCTGGAAAAGAAAAACAACATTCCAAAACTAACTGGCTCATGGATATGTCCCCTCCTCTCAAAAGCTTTCCCACTCAAGGTTTCAAGAACAAGACAAGGAGAAAATGTTACTGCCAAGACTAAACACTAAACACATGCAAATGTTTTCAGCTGAAACACAAGAAGCAATACAAAATCAGAGTACGGTCCAAGCATGGTAGCTCTGTTGTCTAGAGAGCCTCTGAAGGTTACATCGTCATAGACATTATTTGTCGTGCAAGGCCGGGATCTTGCTGCAACAGCTCCCTTAAGTTGCTCTCAACCTCTGCGATCTGTTTCTCCAAGTATTCCTTTGACGTCTTAACAACATAACCAACAGGTAAATAAGTCAACCAACAGGATTCTAAAGACTGGTAGTAACCATCTAACATGATTTCAATTCCAAAGATTTTCCCTGTCAAGAGCTTGAAGGTTGGTCACAAACAATAACAAGCAGACCAACAAGTTCATAGAATTGGCCAAAGTTTAATTGTAATCTAAATTTGAGCCAAATACTCAGCTTGTTTATAAGTGGAAACCCTCCAATGATAAGTTTCACTTTTCACCCATGATCACCAGCAGATCAGAAAGAGAATTACAAACTCGGTCAAGATTATTTGTGATCTGATTAGTGCCCTACATCCAGTTTGTCTATAAGAGCAAATCCTTAAAAACTAGATTCAGTTTCAGTTTCACTGGTTATCGCCAGTTAGAGAGAGAGAGAGAGAGAAAGAGAGGATAGATGTGTATAACATCAGAAAAGACCAACCTGCAGTGAAGCAATTGCAGCCTCGCTATCTTTCAGTTTTTGCTCTTGTTCATTCTCTAGCACTGACTTGGGCTCCAGAACAAACCTGCCCACCGTATGAGACACACGAGAGATCAAACAATCAAAATCTAGAATTTACATCTCTTGAGTCCAGATACACAGCTAGAACCTCATTGAGGACTATATGTGTACTCACGTTCTTCCTGCAAAATAAAATATAAATGCAAGTCAGAAATACGATTTGACACTGCTGGTGCCTATTACGGTATTAACTTGTAGGAAAGCAAGTGCCATTAACATGAATAATAATTGCCTTCTTAAATAAAGTTGTGTTCTTTGTACTAGCGAATTGTCACAGGAAGGCAGTTCCAATCAATACCTATTGACTTGTATGTGTTAGTATCTTCCGGCAATGGACGCAACTCCTCCAAGGTTAAGAAAGCACGTTTCTTTTCTCCCTCTTTGTTACGTGCCTGATTCTGAACCTGAAATCCATACATACACCTACATGAGTTTCATGATCATAATTAAAACACAAGCCATGACTCATCTCGAGCTTCAAAGGAGTTTGAAGAGCGGCTATGTTTTCTACGATTTTCCTTCTCCGAGTTCTCTCCAGTAAGATCTTGTTTTGAGACGCACAAATCTAACAAGTAACCCCATTAAGATGCCAGAGGCTGAGTCATATTCGATCAAACCATGTATGAAAGTGATGAGCGATGCACCGAGAAAACCTCAGCTATAACAATCTCGCACTGGAAACTTGATTTTTCATTATCATACTTTCTAATCTAAAGGAAGAGGCTTTATAGCTATGGAAGTAAATTCAATTTCGGACAAAGTTGAATAACAACATGGGAACATTTGTTTCCATCAAAGCAACCGCTTTTACCTCCGTGCAACACATTTCGGTCGAAAAACTACCAACATTACAAGTTCGTTTCCAAATGATGAGGAAGAAGACCAACATTATAGTTCATCTTAACAGAGCGGTGATACATCTAAAATTGTCCAGGTTCACTTCTCTACGAAATCATAATCCAAAAAAAGCGATCAATTGCAGGGAAAACCACAAAAACACATTTATCTGAACCATGAAAATCATACCTGTTTTAGTTTCCCGGTAAGCTCAATCATTCGACCTTGAATCTCCATAAAAGCCTGCACAATTCGTACTTCAGATACGCTAAACAAAAGCTAGTTTTTTCGCATCATCTGTTTGGAGTCTGAGAAAATTTCTAGCCCTAGAAAAAAACAAGTTGCACTTTTTTCTATTTCTCATTCTCCCCCAGAAAATTTCTGGGCCACCGAAGAGAGCACATGCAGGAAAACGAATAGAATCCAGAAACTTTCTAGGAAAGTAAAGATTGAACAGCGATACTCACAGATCTGTTTGCCTCGTCCGCCATTTTTGCAGAGATCTTCGAACTTGCTTCGATTTGGCTGAGAGTTGGGGTTCAGTCTTGGTCGGCTTTTTTATTGCTTAACCGGACGGGTGATTCGTGGTAAGCGGCGGACTTGATTTTAATTTTTCAATTTTATCAGGTTTTATTTTTTATATCGATAAAACGCAAACGACAAACGCGCACAGCCGCAAACGCGGACGGGGATTTATTTTTGCATCGATGTGAATGAAACGTAGGTCCAGCATAAAACTAAATTGAGGTGTCGCCGTTGATTTCGATCCGCCGCCGCCGGATCTCTGTCCACGTTCGCCACCGTCGCATAAGAGACGCAATGGGGAGCAGAGTTTACGTTCACTACAACCACACCGATTCCTGCAACTACGCACGGTGGACCGCCAGGTCTCTCTCTCTCTCTCGCTCTCTCTCCCTGTGGAGAAACCTCATAAGTTAGCATCTTGAAGCGACTATTACACGTTTCTTGTGATGTTTGAATAGCCCATCTTTCAATTTTGAGAATATTTGGGTTTTTGCTAGAGTTTCTACTTTCTAGGTAATTACAGCTCCATGGATTCTGTTTTTACGTGTTTGGTATGCAAAATTATTGTGATTTGGAAAAAAAAAATATTGAAATTCCCTCGTGCCCATCAAGCTCCAATTTTCAGGCGCCGTTTGCTTGAACTGGGTAATGATAGAGATTCACGAAATAGAGCTTTCGATGTAAGATTTAAGATATGGAGACAAGGGTTCTCATTTTTTTTCGTCCTTTTAATTATTGAGACAGAGACATCAAATTTGAGCGGTGAAAAAATGGACACTAAAATCCTTCCTGTTGTTGCAACCTGAAGCTGAAAACTGGTTCTTGTTTATTGGATACTCAATTGCTTTTGTTTCATGGTGTTTTTTTTTTGGCAGAGAGAGCTTCCGGTTTATGTATGATAGGCCTTGGCAGCATATTCTTGATTTTTACTCAAATGTGGTGAAAGGAAGCGTTTCGGTCCCGGAGTTGTTTGGGACAAAGGTTAGTTTCTCTTAATTGCGGTGTTTATGCTGTAAAGTCCGAACCTTCTCTTTTTTCTTCACTGAACTAAAGTAATTCTTGAAAGAACTGTTTTTCTTCCGGAAGAGCTTTCTTCAACTGAGGTGAGGTGTATATTTGTGCCCGACAATGATATTTTATTATTTAGCTTGAGACTATTAAATCAAGAATCATTTTTTTGTTTGTTTTCAGAAATCTGTTGTTCACCATGATGAAGGTAAAGCTGAAAGGAGTCATTCTGAAGATGAGTTAGAGAATTCTACTGGAATTAAAGAGAAAGGCGGGAGGTGGGCAAGAGTAACATTCAAGATAGTTCTTTCATATAGTGGGTCTTCCTTTGATGGATGGCAGAAACAGCCCGGTCTACACACTGTGCAGGGGTAAGGCTTGGTCCTTTCTTTTTCTTTAATTCTTATGCTCGTTATGCTAATTATTTCGATTAGATTCGTGTACTTGACCTGTGGGAAAGAAATACCGTGGATATCTGTTTCTTCCATTGCTTGCCCTTCATGCATGTGTAGACATATATTCCTTCTCTTTTTTAGTCCTTCCTGGTTACAGTTGTAGCATCTGAAAAGCAATTAGAAAATTTTGAGTTGCGAATATGTGTGGTGTGAATTTCTTGCTGATAGTTACAGCTGGTTTATTTACTTGGTCTTCAGATATTTTGGGTATCTTGGGTTTTTGTTGTTTTTTCCTAAAATTCTAGTACTGTATCTCTTAAATAAAAGATAAGTTTTCCGTTTAATGAAGTTATCAGAGAATTGATCAAATAATAGTGGGAGGTTGAGTACTATTATCAATTGTATTCCAGCCTCTAAAAGCCATAAGAGTTTTGATGCTTCGTGTGCTTGATCTTTTTCCGAACTGATGATCATTTAAGATTTGTGGTCGTTAAAGTGTAGTAGAGAAGTCTCTCGGAGGATTTCTTGATGAGAGAAAAGCTCAGCTGCTCAAAGACAAATGTAAACCATTAGAAGGCAATGTAGTTGTGGCTGGACGAACCGACAAAGGAGTGTCTGCTCTCAATCAAGTTTGTTCGTTCAGTACGTGAAAATCTCCTCCTCATCTCTTTGACTCTGTCTTAAGATAGCTTTTCTTCCCCTAAATTAAAAAATAAAAACTAAAAAGAGAACATTTACTTCTGGACGAATTTGATTTTAATATCGTAGAACTTGCTGTTAAGTTCCTTTCTCATGTTCAGATACCTGGAGAAAAGATGTTAACCCCAATGATCTTGAATATGCTATCAACAAAGAGGCTCCGGGAAAACTTAGGGTCGTGTCTGTCTGTAAGGTATATACCGGTTTCCGTTATACATTTCTAGCCAAACATAATTGTACATGTGCGTAGTAAAGGGGATAATAATTTTGGTTTATTGCATTTAGCTGAGATATTTACCTCGTATTGCAGGTCTCCCGAACATTTCACCCAAATTTCTCTGCAAAATGGAGGCGCTACTTGTATATTTTTCCCTTGGATGATGGTAAAGGCACTGAACAATTGTGTGAGAGTGATAAGGGTCCGGAGAGCTTTGTCTCTAACAAGAGATACAGCAAGCAAAGAAATGGACTCATCAGCGAAGAAAATGTTGGAGTAATTACCAGAGAGGATAATGGTGAGATTAAAGTTGAAGAAGCCAGTGAGGAGAATGAGCTTGAAGCTAAAGAAAAGCCAAGAGACTTCAGTGTACACAAGGTTGATCAACTTTTGCGGCAGCTTGAAGGAAAATTACTATCCTACAAAATGTTTGCACGTGATACAAAAGCTGCAAGAAACGAGTAAGAATTGCCGGATGTATCTGTAGTTAGTCACGATCATAGGCATCTGTTATTTCATAGTTTAACTCTGGACCTTAGCTCATTCTACCATCTTAAAAATCTCAACTTGAAGAACCAAAGGTCTATTTCTTGGATGTTATGGGCCATAATCCTTCTTAGCCTCTTTATTGAAACGGTTGCAGCTTGATATAAATTTGTTATCTGAATGGCATTTTATTTGACTTATCATGTTCATGTTGTTTTGTTTCAGAGGTCCGCCAACTGAGTGTTTCATGTACCATGCACGAGCAGCTGAGGTCAGATTTCCATGTTCTGTAAGTGTTCTTCTCTTTTCCCTCTCATGGTGTCATCATTTTTTTTTGCCCTTGTCTCTATGTGTTCTATACTGGATTTAGGGGACTTGTATTCTATTTTCTCTGAAATCGAGTTCAAGTTAGTAGAAATTACATGTGTGTTATTCCATGGCTGTGGTTTTTTTGGAGCTTTTTCTGTTTCTTCCAAGTGTTTTGTAATTTTCTGGCCATTGCCATATCACATCCTATACATATAGATCTGGATACAGGAGTATATGCAATAATACATTGCATTGTGGTTTCTAGATTAAGCTTCTCTGGGATTCTTAGTCTCTCTTAAATTTTCTTTTCAGGTCACTATCCGAATAATTTCAGATTCAGTATCAATTTGTGCTCCTGAATCTATAGAATTGATATCTTTTAATGATTTTTATTAGGAACATGCTGAAGGAAGTAGGGTGATGTGTGTTGAGCTTGTTGCTAACCGGTTTCTCCGCAAGGTATTTACGTATATGACTGCTTGGTGTTTTCTCAAACCTAACTTGAGCATGAAATACATTGAACTTGCAAAATCCTTATTCTATTATGTTAATAGTCATATGTGAAATTTTGAACATGCATTACTTCACGAATAGTAAAGGACCACATTGCATTGCATGCACTAATGAAGGAAACATTTTTGCTTCAGTCATGGCTCCTAAGAAACTTTGTTAGATCATATAACTGATGGATAGATTTTGTATCGCTCGTGTATTTGTGTATAAACACTTGTATATGCTCATTTGTATTTAAACAGAGTAACGGATAACAGAAAAAATTTCTCACTCTGTTCTTCCTCTTTCTCTCTCATTTTCATCAGCTTGTTTTCATGTTGTCCGATCTCCTAACTCATGATGTTATTACTGTAACATGCAGATGGTTCGTGTTCTTGTGGCCACATCAATCCGGGAAGCTGCTGCTGGTGCGGAAGATGATGCATTGTTAAGACTGATGGATGCTTCATGCAGACGGGCGACTGCTCCTCCGGCTCCACCCGATGGTCTCTGTCTTTTCGATGTTGGTTATACCGACTTTGACCCTCAACATTCTCTTATCCCATGAGAGCAAAGATATTCTCTTTTTAATACATGCTTATTGGATGAAACCTTCGGGAATTTAGATAGGGAATACCTGTCTCATTGTTGTGGATGTTACTAGTATGCAATTTGATTGACATTTTACCATTAATGGTTGTTCTTCATGGAAAATTTAGCTGACCCGGAATGAGTTTATACAAGTTCACGCTCTTCTGTTTGTCGTTTACGTTCATCGGTCACAAGCTATCTGATGCACAGGTGAATGAGTTTGGGGCCACAGTATGCATTACAGCTCCATAGATAGCTCGGATTCCGAAATCAAAATCAGGTAAGAGAAATCGATTTTTCTCATTGGTTTGCTTGAAAAAGATGAGATTCTTTTTTTTGTTTCTGTTGAAAGATGGCATCATGAATCATTGACTGTGATACCAACTTCACACTCTCAGATGATGACAGGTCTTGTTTACTTGCCTTGCCTTTTGGAGTGAATACTATATATCTTTTATAGGTTAGCTGTGTGAGCAACACATGCACCATTATTGATAATCTTGTTTCTTTTCCTTGTAGAGTAGAGAAGCTGGAAAACAGCTAGAACTTTGAAAAGAACACATGAAGCATGCAAGTCGATATTCCTATGCAGTACAAAAATCAAATGACTTAACAAACACACGTTTTCTTTTCCTTTTGTTTTTGTTCCTTCCCCCCCTTTGCTTTCTCTGTGTTTTAGATTAGAATTGCTCTTACTCTACATTTTTCTTGCAGATACATTTTTGCCATAACATCACACCAACACTGTCCACGTCTGCTTGGAATTACAGAGGTAAATCCACATCCATAACACTCTTTTTTATACATTCAGAACATCTCTTTTCATGACAAATTGATGAACTCGTTTGACTTTCCTCTGGATGACTTCCCATCTGCTTCACTCGCATATGTAGAGTAGAAATCATCATCCCCGTCCCGATCTCTCAACTCCTCAATCTTATCCACGGCTTCTCTTATATCCAATCTCTTCTCCACGTCCATTTCACAACAGCTCATCCCAATCCTCAAGAGTTTCAGAATCTCTGTTTCACAATGTCCTGTCTTGCCCATATCCTTATCGAACACCTCAGGAGTCCATTCCCCTTTGAAAACCGTGTTCACCCAACTCGCCAAATCTTCCTCACTTCCTTTACCCATGTGCAAGAAATTCTCTGGGAACTTACCCGTTAGGATCTCTAGGATGAATATTCCAAGTCCCCATACATCAGTTTTCTTGGTGATGCGGCTGTGTTGCTGATACTCGGGGGATTTATATGCTACCATGAGCTCTTGTGCACTCTCTTGGTTGATCACTGGGATTAGGCCATAATCCGTGAGAAGAGGCTCAAAGTTTTCACTGAGAAGAACGTTGGACGATTTAAGGTGACCATGGGGGGCCATTAGACCAGGGAGTTCCTTGCAGAGGTATAACATTCCCCTCGCCACTCCTTTGATAATCTTCAATCTCGTCGGCCAATCCAATCCCGATTGCCCTAAAGATTGATAACCTGAGACACACCGAGATAGTCTTGAGCAAAAACAATGACTGGAATGCTCTTCGGTGATGGATTTATGTATAGAAATGCATAGATTAGGTGGTGTCAGAAGAAATCATACCGTGGAGATGGACAGCCAAGCTTCCTTTCTCAACATAGTCACAGACCAAAAGCTTTTCCTCCTTCCTGTAGTAATAAGCCACAAGGGGAAGCAGATTCTTGTGCCTTAACCTTCCTAACCTCCTCATGTGCTCTTGAAATTCTTCCCTCCCTACATTATTCATCTGTTTGAATCTCTTAACCACCATAACTGGGCCCGTCGAGAGAGCTGCCTTATAGGAGGCCCCAAAACACCCGCTCCCCAATATCTCGGCTGAGGCCTTCAACAGGTCTTGCAAGTCGAATTTTTCCCTGTCATCCCTCAAGAACGACAACTTGGTTGACTCAATTCCTGCT